AAATGTACCAAAAATCGAATTTTCACAAAAAAGTCTAGATGTATGAAATATGCAATCTTAACAACAAATAACTACATGTTTGATGGTTTCCTCGCATAAGATCGATAAAATACCGAATTTAAGTCCCCTACCACCAGGCCAGAAGGTGGACTATCGTCGGGAGAGGTGCATGCGGTTAGTCACAAATTAAATTAAAAGAAATCTACAAAAATGTTAGTATAAATGCAAACTATGCAAAAGGTCATGCAAAAATGGCCATTATTTCATACGGTCGCTGTGGGACCTAGACTTGACATAACCAGGACAAATGCATATTCGTTCGAAAGGACTTAAAGTAAGTTCTCAAGTGGTGTCAATTGCGACTTGAAAATTTCATGTGGGGGTGGCCAAATTGGCAAAAAACCAAACATTGACCGTTGACCGCACACATAACGGGCATTTTTGAAAAAGACTGCATATGTTCTCTTGAAAATTTCATCAATTTAAGCCTCAAGTCAAAGATAAAACAATATGCATACCACATACCACTGAAAAATACCTCTGTTCCTCATTATGAACCATAATTTGTATAAATTTGGTCCAAAAATAACCTAAAAATCTATATTTTCATTGTATTTGAAAAATATTCAAATTCATGTGTCTTGAATCTTTAACTTGGAAAATAGCGCTTACAAAACTATTGATATCAAATAAAAAACCTCTATCAAGGTGAAGAACGAGTGACGAGACCAAAATTTGAAACACAAAATTTCTGATATCAATTTTGTGACGAAAATAGTTGGTAGATATATTTTCTGTGTACTGTGAATATAAACTTAATATACATTTGTAAATTCGGAACGTTGCTTCATTGCATCAGCATGAACTCAAAGTAAAAAGAAGAGAATTTTTGCAACGTTTCGAATATACAAATGTATATTAAGTTTAGATTCACAGTACACAGAAAATATATCTACCAACTATTTTCGTCACAAAATTGATATCAGAAATTTTGTGTTTCAAATTTTGGTCTCGTCACTCGTTCTTCACCTTGATAGAGGTTTTTTATTTGATATTTTTTACGAGGGAATATGAGTAATAATAGTTTCTTGAAGAAACTTTCTTCATCATTTTCCAAACAAGAAAAAAATGAGAGCACACACACACACACACAGAGAGAGAGAGAGAGAGAGAGAGAGAGAGAGAGAAAGAAAGAGAGAGAACCAGAGACATACCCACACATTGTCACACATACACACGCGCGCGCGTGTTCACACTGTTGTACGTCCGTACGTATTTTGCATTTGCCATTTCAGCGGTCTTCCGTGTTTTTCATACAAGCCGCCCATGTAAATGGTAAAAAATCGTGAAAAATGAAAAAAAATAATTATTTTTTTTTTCTTCAATTCTCAAATAGTACTCAATTTTCTATATCACCTGGTGAAATCAGAATGAAAAAAATCGCATTCCTTATCACCCAAATCACGATCTGGATTTTTTTCACTTTTGGCGTGCTCTATACCGAGTCTCCGAGAGTTTCATATAAACTTCCTATGTAACAGCTATTGAATAGTGACCAATCGAATGCCAATCGTCTTTTGGGTGATAGGGAATGCGATTTTTTTCATTCTGATTTCACCAGATGGTACAAAAAATTGAATAGTATTTGTAAATTGAAGAAAAAAAATTTGATTATTTTTTTCATTTTTCACGATTTTTTACCATCTACATGGGAAGGCTTATATGAAACTCTCGGAGACTCGGTATAATGCACAAATGAGTTAAAATAAATGAGATACTAGCCAGAATTGAAAATAAATTTGATACTTGAACGAATTGAAAATAAATGTGATACATACCACTTTTATTTTAAATATCTTTCAAGTATCAGATTTATTTTAAACGCGAGTTAGTATCTCATTTATTTTAATTCATCGTCTTGTATCAGTATTTTTTTAAATAATGTTTGGAGCTCATGATTATTCTTACCCATTCACATATAAATATGTGTATATGTATGTTGGTATTGCGTCACTTGGGGACTGCCGCCCCCCGTTATACTTCATATTCTTTCGTTGAATATAGACAAAGTCCACGTTATATCTAATGTAGGAATTATAATTGCTCTTAATACATTATAATATTTTGAATTTAAATGACAAAAGATAAATTATTATTCGTGGGTGTTGAATTTATTAAAGTGTTTGAGTATTGTTTCAAAACATTGCAGAAATTTCTCTCTTTTTACTGTCAGTCCATACTGATGCAACGTTTCGAATGTACAAATGTATATAAAGTATTTATTCACAATACACGTAAAAACTATCTACCATTTCTACCATTTACAAATAACTACCATTTTCTATTTTTGTCACGATATCAGAAATGTTGTGTTTTGAATTTTGGTTTCGTCATTCTTTCTTCAGCTCGATAGAGGTTTTTTATTTGATATCAATAATTTTAAAGGTACATTTTATATGTAAATTTAAATTAAAAATTCAAAGCATAAATTTGATTAATTTTGAAATATAATAAAAATGTGGTTTCTGGGTTATTTTTTGGCTCTAAATCATGACATACTTATTTATGACTTTTAATTGAATAAAGCTAATTTTCACTCATGTGTAGTATGCTCATTTTAAGCTTTTAAAGAGTACTATTGAGAAATTATCTACATTGTGATGGCCGACCATATTTTCATATTTGCCAGTTGAATGGGTTAGGATAAAAGTGAGCTCAAATTTTCATATAAAAAAATCTCAATCATGAAATCGGTAAAAATAAATGACCAACTAAACTGAGATGAAAATAAAAGAGCAACATGATTCATTCGGTCACTATTCAATAGATGTTACATAGCAAGTTTATATGAAACTCTCGGAGACTCCAAGTGGTGTTCGAGAAATGAAAAAAAAATCATTTTTTTTTTCACTATTTTGCTCTTTACCGAGTTTCCGAGAGTTTCATATAAACTCGCCTTGCAATAGCCAAATGACGCCTATTGATTCAATCACGATTGGTATTCGCTTAATATTCAATAGGCATCACATAGCAAGTTTATATGAAACTCTCGGAGACTCGGTATAGAGCACTCAAACAATGAAAAAAGTACAGATCGTGATTTGGATGATAAGGAATGCGATTTTTTTCATTCTGATTTCACCAGGTGATACAGAAAATTGAGTAGTATATGGGAATTAAGGAAAAAAAATTTAATTATTTTTTTCATTTTTCGCGATTTTTTATACCATCTATTTGGGAGGATTGTATGAAAAACACGGAAGACCGCTGAAATGGCACTGCCGTAGGTCCGTATATATTTGCCATTTGCCATTTGAATGGGTTAGGATAAAAGTGAGCTCAAATTTTCATATAAAAAAATCTCAATCATGAAATCGGTAAAAATAAATGACCAACTAAACTGAGATGAAAATAAAAGAGCAACATGATTCATGTTGGTCTTTTATTTTCACTCTAAACATGTTGGTCTTTTATTTTCACTCTAAACATGTTGAACTTTTATTTTTACGCTGCGCACGGTGGTGTTTTATTTTCAAAGCAAATAAGTTTCCGTTTTATTGGAAGTCCTATCAAGTTGGTATTGTATTTACATTTTTATCATTTACATGGGAGGCTTGTATGAAAGAGACACGGAAGACCGCTGAAATGGCAAATGCCAAATATATACGAACCTACGACAGTGCCATTTCAGCAGTCTTCCGTGTTTTTCATACAATCCTCCCATATAGATGGTATAAAAAATCGCGAAAAATGAAAAAAAATAATTAATTTTTTTTCCTCAATTCTCAAATACTACTCAATTTTCTGTATCACCTGGTGAAATCAGAATGAAAAAAATCGCATTCCTTATCATCCAAATCACGATCTGTACTTTTTTCACTGTTTGAGTGCTCTATACCGAGTCTCCGAGAGTTTCATATAAACTTGCTATGTGATGCCTATTGAATAATAAGCGAATACCAATCGTGATTGAATCAATCTCTTTCACCCAAATCGTGCTTGGCAAATGGCAAGTCGTTGTCTCATGCTATCACGCTCACCCTTTCATGTATGAATGTTTACAATGGACATTCTATTCACACACAACTCGCACCTATATCTTGCTGCGCAATAAAAATCGTCGAAACAAAACTCAAAGCGATTACCAAATAAATACATTCTCAACAATTTTATTACGCAGCATAATATAAGTACGAGTTGTATGTGAATAGAATGTCCGTTGTAAACATTTATACATGCAAGGGGGAACGAGATAGCATTGAACAACGATTTGGATATCACATGATATAGACCATTTAGTGGTGTTAGAGAATTGAAAAAAAAAAATGATTTTTTCTTTCACTTTTTGTGCTCTATACCGAGTCTCCGAGAGTTTCATATAAACTCGCCTTGCAATAGACAAATGACGCCTATTGATTCAATCACGATTGATATTCACTAACTATTCAATAGGCATCACATAGCAAGTTTATATGAAACTCTCGGAGACTCGGTAATGTACATACAGGGGGAGGCAAAAGTTTTAAGCCTGACATATAGATGGCACTAGTTACATATTGTTCTTGTGCTGTAATTCACGTACAAATTGTCACTAGTATTTTAGAAAAAAAATTGAGTTGATAGCTGTCATCGTTTGTTTTTCAACAGCATTGCATACGAAGTAATGTAAACTGTAACCATAGAAATCACCAAAATTGTATGTTTGCTTGACCAACGCGATTTTGGAACTTGGTGATAGTTTTGAAAGGTTTGAGCACTCAGATATGAAATGCGACCGGACTTTTTGCTTTTTCTAGAATCCTCATCTTCATACTAAGTCCATGAAACACGATTCATGGTTCGACGAGTGATTGGTTCATCTTTGGACAAATGCAGAATTTGTTTTGAACTTAGCTTGCCAAAACCATTTGAGACACTTTTTCGTAAATCCAATTTGTACGCCATCGCGATTGAATATAATTGGATGGTTTGTTTTTGACAGTAAAGCAGAGGTACCGTTTTATGTGCTTGGTGCAGGGTTGACATATTTGCATTATTATACATATTATTTGAAAATAACATTCTGAGTTTGTTGAAGAAATTTCAATGCATGTTAGGGGTTCCTCCCGAACAAAATTTTTGCGTACAGGGTACAAGGTACGCACATACATTCAGACATCAAAAAAACGGCTGATTCATGTTCCCTGGCCCCGGAAACACCCAGAAAACACGTTTTAGAGGGGTGTTAATTTTTCGACCGATTCCAATACTTTACCTTACACACTGATATTAAACAATTTTTGCTTTAAAGAGTTTTTTGCTTCGGGAAGTGTCAATATCAACCGATGCTTTACATTGATGCTACGATTTGAAACAGAATGTTATGCTCTTTAAATTGAAACATACCAAGCATAACGCATAAAAATTCGCATTTGGCTGGTGTTTCATTCAAATCGTTGAAAGTCGATAATGGAGATCTGTGTAAACGACGATAATTTAGAACAGCCATCATTTCCAAATGTCATCTAAATACATGGTAGTGCTATTCGTGTAAATTTATATTTAATTCGAAATCAATGATAATAATTTTAATTTTAAAAAAAGTAAAATAATTTTAATTGTAATACACTTGTTAAATAGTTTCAATGAGATCCAAAATATTTTTCAAATAGAAGTTAATAATGAGTTTATAGTGTCTTGTATACCAAGCATAAAAGCAGATATGGATTTTAATTATCTAAGTGAATTTTTATATTCTCACAGTTTTATTCGTTGGGTATTTGCCACAAAATTTATTTAGTTAATAATTTATTTATTTTTATCATTTGGTAAATTGCTTCAAGTAGATGGCTCTGTTTTCTGTATACCACCTCATTAGAGACGCTACTTGATTGGCTTATACAATTTTGAATGCAGATTATTATTTTAAAAAAATTCAACAATAAAAAAAAACAATAAAACCCAACTAAAATTATATATAAATTTGAGTGAATCTATTTTTTTAAACATAATAACTACGAATAATAAAAACACAAAGATAGTCACATTTCATATAATGGCGGCTAAATCAATCAACCAATCACAGACGAGCTTTGATGCATAGAAACGATTTTGCTTCTTAGTTCCATATGTTTCGCGTCTGTGAATGAAATTTGTTGTGCGTCTCGCATGTAGAAAAGAAAAATCTCAAACCAGAGAAGAAAAAATTTCTTTACCCAATAAGAAAATAAATTTTGACATATGTCAAGCTACGAATTTGTTTACTAAAACTTTGGTCTTACTTCTCGGTTTCATTTTTTCTAGTTAATTTTGGTTGATAAATAAAAACGGAGTGTCAAAACAATACCTACTTTAATAAATTTACAAACTTTTGAGTAACGACGAAAGTAATAAAATTGGTGAGTTTTTTCTTTAGATATTATTATCATAAGACAAATTGTAAAATAACAGAAAGTATTGCAGATTAGATGTTTTTATTAAATGAATGGATATAGATGGTTCAAAATTTATATTATTATATTCATTACATATTTTGTTGAAGGTCATTGAACAAACGATTGAAACAATAATTTAAACCATCTTAACAAAAAAAAATTATTTTAAATTCAGAAACTTTGTTATTCTATCGAATGAAAAAAGAAATAAATCCGATTGCTCTCATAAATATATCAAAATTGAGGTGAAGATAAATCGAAGGACAATAACTACAATGACAGGAAGAGGAACAAAACGGCGTGGTCGTCCGCCAAAAACACAACACATGGATCGTCAAAGTGTAAAATGCAGCTATAACTCGTTGAGGAAACCAAAATATGTAACAGATTCCCAGTTCAGTACCCCATCCGCATCTCGTGCATCTTCTCCGCAAGGTAGCGATAGCAGTCGCAGAGGAAGACCATCAACATCACGCAAAGTGTCGACGAGAGGTCGAGGAAGAAAACGAGGCAATGGACATCATAGCACCAGAAAAAGTAAGTCTAATATAATTTAAGTGTAACTAAAAAAACTCAACAATTTTTTTCATGACAACAACTATTCTCAAAAAGATTACGAAAATGAATATCATTATGGATCGGATTTTGGTGACTCTTCCGACGATAATGAGCCAGACGAAGATTTACTTCTATCAGCGAGCGATTCAGATAGCTTGGATGCTGATAATGACAACAATGATAGTGACTTTTCTTTGAGCAGTTTCAGTAATGAGAGTAATTTAAATAAGAAAAATAATCGTGTGCCCAGTCCCGACCCATTATGGTTACAGCCGATAGAACTACCACCATTGATTCTGCCAGATTCTTCGGACGATTTATCAATTCCAAAACAATATGCACTAAAAGTTGCCTCAATATATGAAGTGTTTCGTCGTTTTAAGCAGTTAATTCGATTAACACCATTCCGGCTAGAAGATTTTTGTGCAGCTCTTATGTCGGATGAGCAGAGTTCACTTTTAGCTGAAATTCATATGATGCTTTTGCGGGCATTATTACGTGAAGAGGATGCCCAAGGAACACAGTTTGGACCACAAGATCATAAAGACAGTATAAATATATCCTTGTATTTAATCGATCAATTCACTTGGCCAGAAATATTAAGAAGTTATTTAGAAAGTCACGAAAGTTTTGATAAAAATTCACTAAACATACTAACTACAAAAGATTATCCATTTGTGAGTGTCGAAGATCGGTTGACCGTTTTGCAATTTTTGACTGATCAGTTTTTAATAACTGATATCGTTCGTGGAGATTTGGTACGTGAAGTTCCAATTATATATGATGATCATTGTCGAATTTGCCACAAACTAGGGGATTTAGTATGCTGTGAAACGTGTCCTGCAGTGTTCCATTTGGAATGTGTTGATCCACCTTTAGAAAATGTGCCAGCTGGTGACTATCAGTGTAGTCTATGCAAATTACAAAAAGGTAAATTTAAAAATCAACATAGATTTTGATCATTAAACTCAATACCAATAAATATTTTTACATCTATTTAGTTCCGGGTGTCTATGATTGTGTTTCAAGTTTGGAGAAGCAAGGTTTTTTGTGTAGGCACGAGCATTTGGGTTTTGATAGACATGGACGAAAATACTGGTTTATTAACAGACGAATATTTATTGAAGATGAAGAAAATGGAGAAATTTGGTTAGTTCTAGGAAACTCATATATATTAAGTCGTTCTTTTTTTTTATCTCATGAAAATTCTCTAAATATGTTATTTTTAAATTCAATTATTGTGTACATTCGGAAAAGCTAATCAAAATGGCTGTGCTATTAACCTTTCCAAAAATCATCAAAATTGAATGCCTGAATTATTGCAAAATTTCGAGTTCAACTACTAAATATCAAATGAAAGTAATATTGTTTGCTCCAGTGAATTCAATTTTTTTGGTGTTCATTCCTTAACTGTTTCATAATTTTCAATACAGTATTTATAATTTTCATGGCATATATTTCTCCTATATATTGTCGTAGATTTTTCCAATATTTTTCGCAAAACTCGTTAATATTATAAACTTATTGCTTTTTTTAGGTATTACAGTTCAATTGTGCAATTAAAATTGTTGCTTACAAGACTAGACGAAGAAAAAATGGAACGTGCTCTATGGTCTGAAATTGAAGATTACCGCGAAGAAATCGAACGTCAAATGGCTATTACAGAAACCCTTACAAACAAATTTAAAGGTCATAAAAAATCTTATTTGGAAATTGAAAATCAAAATATAATAAAAAAGCAAAAGGAAAAAATTGAAAAAACTCTGGACAGTGACACAGAAAATAAAAGGGAGGATCAATATGAACGAAAGTCTACTGAAAGAGAAATTATTGTTGCTGATAAATCCAAAGACAATGATTCAGACACAAATGAGTCACCTCGTAATTCCTCTCAAAACGTTGTTTACACACGTTTGAAAACAGGATCTTTGACACCCAGAAACTATAGTACAGACGATTTGAAGAGGAAAAATATGAGCAAAGATGAAAATGAATACGACACGCGAATGACACGATTAAAAAATGTAAATCTGAATTGCCCATTCAAACTGGGGAATGAGCAAACGTTCAAATCATACGTTAACCAATATACGACAAATGTTTATGCTTTGAATAAGCCTCAACGGAATGAAGATCGTGATAAAAAACGACCTTTATCGCATAAATTTTCACTGACGCAAAACTCTGAATTTAAATGGAATGGTATTTTGAATGGAAACCGGAATAATGCCATTCAGACACTACGTCAAACAATCATATCACTTGAACAAGCTATCTCTACTCCTTATATGCATTCAAATTGGTCATCTCTTAAAAAGTTATGGCTTCAAGCTATTTCACATTGTAATAAACCCTCGGATTTTGCAAAAGTATTGATAATCTTTCAAATCTGTACAAAAAATTGTATTTACGTTAATGCTTGGAATGAACAATTGGCTCATATCAAATTAGAACGTGTTACATCAGCAGAACGAGATGAAAAGAAGAAAATCGAAAAACGCGAGAAAAGGGAACGTGATGATGAAGAAGAACGTAATCGTCTTGCTATTAATTTTGTGAAGTATTCATTAGGCCAGAGACATCAAGTTGCAAAACAAAAAGGCGAAGAATATCGAATCCATGGCCAATGGAGTTGGATTTGGGCATCATATGGAAGACGTCAGATCAAAAATCAAACAGTTACAAATCATCGAATTGAACCAATTCAAATAGTTACGCAAATTTTACACAATGAATCGAAGAAAATTGTTACTCTGGAGCCGGCTACATATGACTACTTAAAACTTAAAGATTACAAAGAAAAGTATACTTCAAACATACCAACAGAGTTACACAAAACATCTGTTATATCCATCATCAATTCTTTTGATGATATAAATATATCTGGGGCATTAGCAGCGGAAAATCGTTTACTTTATCCAAAAATAGCGAAAAAATCCATTTTGGACGATTTATTGAAACGTCGATTACAGCTCAAAAATGAAGAAGAACAACGAATTGGAAGTGGTAATACCACAAATGTTACCAGCAAACCTAGAGGACGAAAACCAACGGAAATTGAAAAAATATTACGCCGAATGTGTGGAATTAAAGGCAATATTTCATCAGGCAATCCAGTGAATTCGATACAACAACAAACAGTTGATATAGACTTTGTAAATGATATAGCAGATTCAATAATAAGCGCTCGAGATAAATTTGCCCAACTGAATCGTCTTGGAAAACAGTATAAATGTTATTTGACGTGTGAGTCCAATGATGTTTGCTACTCTTTGCAACAAATGAAAAAGAATGTATGCTACTCGCCATTGTGTTTGCAGAAGACTCGTGTAAAAGAAGAGCTTTTAATAGCACTTAAAAAATCAGCTTCACATGGCGATGTTGTAAAAGAAAAAATAATGAGAATTGTCAACAGAAAACCAGAAAATAAAGTAAATTCAGTCCAGAAAAACGTCGATGAATCATCTGGAGTTATAAATCCAGGTAAACTTCATCGAAATTTTCTACATGCATTGGAAAAAAGCTTAACTAGCAATATTGAAAGAGATGTCAACGAATATATCAAATGCTCAAGTTGCAAACAAGAAACAACAATACAAGTGGAAAGTTGCAAAATGGAAATTGATGATGATGAACGCGCTGATATTGACAATGAAGATAATGTTGAACTTTTGAAAAAAATCGAAACACCCATCAAAATGGACTTAGAAGAAATTCAAAATTCCGAATTGAGCAGTAGTGAGCAAGTGAATTACAAAAGGTAACCAGAAAAATATCAAAACAATAAGTTTACAATAAAACGTATGAACGTTGTGACATACATTTTATATTAAAATCCTCAATGCATATTTATAACGCTTGAAATACAGCACTTTGTCACATATTGAATTTGGTGAGTAGAGTAATAAATTAATTAATAATTTTAATTACAGTGAACAAATGGAACATACTAATGTGAAAAATGGATTTGGAATTATTGATAAAAATTTGCGGTAAGTGAATTCAAAAAAACCAATATAAAATTTTATAATTTCAAAATATTAATAACAATTATCAAAATAGCGAAAGACGTTCAGCAAGGAGAACAATCAAAAACCAAATACCTTCGAATAAAAATTTTGTGAAAAGTTCAATTGTTTTTAATGAGCAACAAAGTCATTTGCCGAAGACCAGATTGAACGTAACATCGTTTATTGGAACTGAACCACCACAAGAATACAACAGTGAGGCAAAACCTTTAATTCGATCAAACCGTCGTTTTCCTGGATTATTGAGAACATCTAAGCGGGAAATCAAATTTGAGAAAGAATATGCCTCAGATGGAAGCGAGCGTATATTCTCACATTCTCTAACAAGTGACAAAATATATTTAGCCAAAGTTTCTAGTCACGATCACGATCCATCAAAACCAGTTAAGACAGAGCCATCGTTGCTACCTCTAAAGTATCCTCCTATGAATAGTTTTCTCACAAAAAAAGGTTTTCGGTCCCTCCTTGTATTACATAGCTATGAAACGAAGAAATTAGCACGCTTAGGAGGAAAAATGATTGTAAATGGTTTTAATCCCATGAGTAAATCAAATCCTTCTGTATGGCCATATCCATGCTCACGACCATTTTTCAAGACGTGTTGGTTATTTCGGACATTAAATGCTCGTACGTTGCCTACTGTAGCACTACAAATGAAGATAATTTGGTGTTGCTTACGATGGGATGATATGTTGGCGAAGCCACCAACAAATAATGGAAAAATTGTTACAAATACTGAAACAGGTATCGTGTCTACGGAAATATTAAAACATCGTGTTCGGGGGAGGTTTTCAGAAAAAAACGATTACCTTAGATTGACCTTGCTAATTCCCTATGGATACGCGGACCCTCAACCTAACAAAGGTAAGACACATTTTTAATATTAGTCGCACCCACAACGTTTTTTCGCCAGAGGTAGTTTATTTAAAATACAACCTCCAATCCAAAGGTTCCGAGACTTTTAAAAATAAAAATAATAAATGGCGTCATCTATTGAATATATTATGTTTTACAAACGAGCTGTCCTCATTGACAAATTGTAAAATTTTCGCGAAGAATGGATGTACACATGTCAAGATATTGCGTCATATTCATTAGTATGTTTTGATCTCAGTGACAAAATGAATTTCAAGCAAAGAGCTGCTATTGAGTTCTGTGTTAAACTTGGTAAAACTTTTACCAAAACGCACCAAATGCTCCAACAAGCATATGGTCGTGATTGTCTATCCCGCGCGTGAGTTCACGAGTGGTTTAAACGATTTTAATCGGGTAGAGAAACGCTTAATGATGACGAAAGTTCAGGTCGTCCAAAAAGTGGATTATCGACAAAACACATCAAAAAAGTGAGCGAATACATAAAAAATAATGAGAAATGTTCATTGAAATTTATTGAAATGGAATTGGGGATTCCCGCAACTACTGTTTTTCGCATTTTGACCGAAGAATTGGGACTTCGTAAGGTGAATTCATGATTTGTGCCACACAAACTCACCGATGATCAAAAAATGGATCGAATTGAACATTGCAAAGACATCATTGAAAGTGCTTGTATGGACCCAAACTTCTTGAAAACGATCGTTACTGGTGACGAGACGTGGTGTTTTGAATATGAGCCCGAAACAAAGCGTCAAAGTGCAGAATGGAGGCGACCAGAAGAAGGTCAGCCCACAAAAAGTCGGTTGGAGAATTCAAAATTGAAGACAATGCTCATTTGTTTTTACGATTCCAAGGGTATTATTCTTAAAGAATTTGTTTCATCTGGTCAAAACTATCGTGACGTTTTTGATCGTATGATCAAAAGATTTTATCGCATTCGACCTGAATATCGCGAACCAGGCAGCTGGTCACTTTTGCACGATAATGCTCCGTCTCATCGTTCACGAGTTGTGAGTGAATTTTTGTCGAAAAAACAAGTTGTTTCGTTGCACCACTCGCCGTATTCGCCTGATCTCGCACCCTGCGACTATTTTCTATTCCCAAAACTACATTTGAAGATGAAAGGAAAGCAAATTATTCAATTGAACGCATACAAAAGGCTGTAGTCGAGGTGCTTAGGAAGGTTCCAACAAATGCCATTTCTGATTCATTTGACAATTTGATTAAACGGGCAAATAAGTGTATCGAAGCGAATGGAGAGTATATAATAATAATAATAATAATAATAATAATAACTGCACCGAACAGCGTTCCTTCGCCTTGGTGGTTCATTGAAAATATTTTAATTAAATAAATATAACACAATATAATTCAATTTTTATCAAGCATTTTTGAGAGTGTAACTGAAAAATTATTGCTTCTCTCAAAAGAATTTATCTCAATATGTACACTGTCTAAATTTTTAAAAAGTCTCGAAACTTTTGGATTGGAGGGTGTATATTAATTATAATAAGTGAATCGTAGCGATCAAAATAAATTAATTAATGAAATAAAAATGTATAATCAATATTTTCTAAACTATCTGCACTAGTTATTAATGATTTGAAATATTATTTTAAAAGTTCCAACGATCTTTTTACATAAATTCCATTATATGAAATTTTAAGATACTTCAGAGAATACACCAAGTCGTTCTGGACTTCGTAAGCGAAAACGTCCTGAAACTCCGCAAAAAACAGAGAAACAAGTTTCAGAAGAATGGGTTGACGAAGACCAGCTTCAACTTTGGGAAATAAAATTGTTTGGAGAAAGGTGAACTTAGATTTTTCAATTGATTTTAATGTCCAAACTATGTTTGGATTCATTCATTTTTCAAAAATATTTTATCCTTCATTACCATTGGATTAGATTGGAGAAGGCATTGCTTCAGCCAGTTACAAGAACTTCAACTGGAAAATTACCTCCCAATCGCTGTAATATCGAAACTAATCGACCCAACACAATAATTAAAGCAGCATCCTCCCAATCAGCAACACAAAATACGAAACAAATTGGTGTGAACAAAAAAACCAGTGCTGAAGAAATCAAAGAAAAAATGGAACAAGAGCTTCGAATTCAGCGTGCTGAACACCATAAGAAGCGAACTCTCGAGATGATGCAACAGAAAAAAGGTTTGATAATATATAAAGATATATTCATTCTACAATTTATTTATGTTCGTGTGTTTTTTTATAGATTCAAAGGCTCCAGTTATTGCGCAACGTCGTATAATTGTACAGAATCCAGATGGAACAACAAAAGTTATTGTACAAAATGTCTTACAATCCTCACAGGTAATGCTCAAAGTAATTAAATCGAAATTCGCCAGCATAAAATATGTATAGAAAGTCTTTTCACTAAATTCAGACGCTATCTAGCGTATTCACGCTTATTTTAAAATGAATGTTTACTTGATCAAACCCATTTTTGGCGCTTGGTGACAGTTTTGAAAGGTTTGAGCACTCAGATTGGAAATACAACAGGACTTTTTGCTTTTTCTAGAATCTTCACATTCATATTAAGTCCATAAAACTTGTTTTGAACTTACAAGGGTTCATCACTATGGGTTGCAGGCGTTGAGCCAAACGACAAATGCCACGGTGTAGGCCTAGGCCAGACTACCTATGCCACATATCCCGTTCGGGCCCATGGGAGTAATTTTTTTCGCTACAGCTCTTGGTAGTTTTCATACTAGAAGGAATTTGAATGAATTTTAAAAGCAACTTGCCGATTATTTCTTTCAACTGAAAACTCGCAATATCTCCAATGCACACTTTTTAAGTTCATTTTCATTGTTTTTGAACGAATATTGGAAAGTTTTTTGACACGAAAAACTTGAATCTGATATTTATTTTGTGATAGAATGAATTTCGGACACGATCGGATTGGTCGAACTAACATTTGTGTAATCCGACAGGTCCACGAGATTTTCGGATCAAAATACACATTGTTTAACCATTTTTTGAAAATTTTCAGAAATATCAGATTCAAGTTTCTCGTGTCAAAAGACCCTCCGATATACATTCACAAACAATGAAAATGAACTTAAAAAGTGTGCATTGAAGAAATTGCGAGTTAAGAACATACATACAAATCAGTCTTTATGGCTGTATGAAAATCGAGTCGGATTATTTTCAAGGGGCATTAGAATTGCTTATTGGATCAAAATGAAACAAATTGAGTAGTTAGAACAGTTTGAAAAGTTGTTTTTCCTTTGAATAAAATTCATTTTGTGAACACTTTTTGATCATTCGTTCATTTACTCTTGATTTCTATGATATTCTCGATATTCAAGCTCTGATGAACGTTGAAATGACTATAAATACAAGATGTAATTGCATTATTATTACTCTAAAAATGTTTCTAGGCTCAAAAAACCTATACACTTCGAATAGATGTGGTACACAATGATGGATTTCTGTCACAAAAAGGAAATTTTTATAGGGAAAGTGTCTTTTAACGTAATTGTATCGCAAAACAAAGACCAGATTCGGCTTTTTCGTTCCAAAAAACCCTCCAATAAGAGTTTTCAGTTGAAAGAAATAATCGGCAAGTTGCTTTTAAAATTCATCCAAATGTAGCGGAAAAAATTACTCCCATGGGCCCGAACGGGATATGTGGCATAGGTAGTCTGGCCTAGGCCTACACCGTGGCATATGTCGTTTGGCTCAACGCTTGCAACCCATAGCGATGGACCCTTGTTAGCCGCCAAAACCAATTAAGCCCCTTTTTCGTAAATCCAATTTGTACGTCACCATTTGATAGTAGAGTAGGAGTCTCGTTAAGTCTCCAATGTGCATTGGGTTGACTTTTCTGTTTTGGTTCAAGTTACAGTTGGGCATTTTCGGTATCTTATTATTCATCTTATTATCTTATCATTCTAATAAGATCAAACTATATTATTACTTATTATTTTTTTGCACTAATAAGTATAGTAATAAGTATAGTTATTAGAATGTTACTAGTCAGAAGACTAATAAGATGCATGTATCTTATTAGTATAGTTATTAGTATAGTATCTCACCAGTATATTTCGATTGGTGTTACTTGAAGCAAATACTACTGAAACACGAAAAACAGCAGAAAGGCAGTCAAAATCACAAAAAAACTCCCGATCCATTTTTCTCGCATTTCCGATGGGAAATCGGCAAAAATAAGCAAATTTGTGTTCACAAAGTGAACACCACACAGCCAACTACTTTTTGGCCTAAAATCCAATTCCGGTGGAATTTGGCTGATTGGTGGACTTTCAGGATTTGGCCTGGTTTCTAGAACTTCCAAAATGTAATTCCATATATATATATATTATTCGAGTAATTTTATACAGGAATTACATTTTGGAAGTTCTGGAAACCAGGCCAAATCCTGAAAGTCCACCACCGGATTTTGATTTTAGGCCAAAAAGTAGTTGGCAGTATGGTGTTCACTTTGTGAACACAAATTTGCTTATTTTTGCCGATTTCCCATCGGAAATGCGAGAAAAATCGACCGGGAGTTTTATTGTGATTTTGACTGCCTTTCTGCTGTTTTTCGTGTTTCAGTAGTATTTGCTTCTAGTAACACCAATCGAAATATACTGATGAGATACTATACTAATAACTATACTAATAAGATACATGCATCTTCTGACTAGTAACATTCTAATAACTTTACTTATTACTATACTTATTACACTAATAAGATGACGTCTTATTACCAGTTATTAGAAATTATTAGTAATAAATAATAACTATCTTACTAGTCTGATGTTATTAGTCCCAACTGTAGTTCATGTAGCGCAATAAACACCTGAATTTAGTGCCAAAACTTATTACACATATGAATCGATGCGGCGAAACAGTAGCTCTTATTTTTCTCCAAATAATCCTGCAACATGAAGTTTTTTTCACACGGATTATTTGTTGTAATACAACAAATACACTATTCATAAAAAACTTTATGTTGCAGTATTATTTGGAGAAAAATAAGAGCTACTTTTTCGCCGCAACGATTCATATGTTATTCAAAAGTATTTCATAAAACAACGTTTTCCCAGGTTATTATGTAAAATACGCGAACAATTTTCCGTATTGATAAATATTTTAAAAAAAATTATTATTACTTTACAGCTAAAAACTATTTGATTGCTAACAATCATTTTTTAAATTATATATTTGAATAACTTAAGAGAACTGATAACTTAATAAATATTTTCATATATGTATTTTATTATTTAGCAACAGACTCGGTCACCTTTGCCTAGCCAACGTCAAAAGCTTGGTATAATTCGTGGCCCAGATGGAAAAATTACAAGTGTTACCGGACTACAACCTGGACAGAAATTGATAGAATCGCCATCTGGGTTGCGTATTGTTACAACATCTGCACCAAATCGAACAGATCGAAAAGTCGTGAAAACAGAGCCGTCGAAAATGGTTCCAAAAGTTTCTAGTTCACAAGACAGTGAGAGTACATCACAAAAAACACCGATTATTGTACACCAACAAATTACAGGAAATTCGCCAAATGTTATGGTAAAATCTAAGCCAGCAAGTACATCATCAGCCCGATCGGTTGTGCTTAACAATGGTCAAGTTCTTGGTAACTTTTTTTATTTATTATTATTGACTAAACGTACACAAAAATGCACAGTTACTAAATTGATATGTGGTTTTTGTTCCTCAATTGTCGATGTTTAGTTGTGAAAAATGACATTGCAAACGCCCCAAATCAAAATGATGCGGTTCAAAAAATTATAACTTCAAAACGACAATTAATTACTAATACCTCACAAAAATTAGTGCGGACATCAAACTTGCAACAATTGTTAAACGAAGGAACGCAAAAATTTGTAATAAATCATACAAATTCACCAAACAAAATCATTATTACTCCTGGAGCAAACAACCAAGTAACAACCAATCAAGAATCTAAATCCGTAATATCACAACCAACGATCGTCCATAATTCAACAACATCCCAAGTAATTCAAACATCTTCACAAAAGACTATTCAACACCAACAATATGTAAATCCAACTAATCAACAACAGCAAATCATTTTCCATGGTCAGCGATTCGTATTAAATCCAGGACAAAGAATACAAGTAACGCAACAGCCTACACAAGTTGTACAACAAATTGTGCAACAACCAGTTGTCCAGCAGATATCACAAGTAAATATCATTCATAAAAAATGGAAAAATGTTTAAAATATAGACGCTTCTACCGTCGAAAAAGGATGAAATGAAGGTGATATGTAATATTCGCTACGCCCGAATTAAATCCATTTTTGACGATGATATATTACTTTATTTTATATTATTTTAGACATGTATAGTATACTTTCTAAATAATTCTTTTTTTAATGTGGCGTTAATTCCGACCGTAAATATTTGCCTCTTAATCGATGATTTTTATTGTCTACAGACACAGCCTCAACAAATTATAATTCAACGTTCACCCCAAGCCATCAACCAAGTACAGCTAGTTCCGTCTCCAAATTCTATATTAAATAACCAGCCACAAATTATGGTTGGGAATTCATTAAGTCAAATGTTGGCACAAGGAAAAGTTCAAGTTGCAACCGTTGCTGGTGGCCAGCAAGTAATAATAAGGTATGTTGCGTTAATTTTTGTAAATTTTTCATTAAAGAATTAATTAATAGTAACATTCATGAATATTTTCAATGCAGACCAATTGGAAATAATCAATGGCAAATAGTTGCGCACCTAAAATCACAACAGGATGGAACACTGCAAATAGTTCAACAGATCTCTCAATCAGAGCAATCTCAAATACAGGCACCACAACCGAAATTTGTACAAGCCAAGCAAGTTCAGCCGACCTTACAGCAACAGAAAATAGTAATTCAGCCGCAGTCTTCTACTCAACAACAAACTCAACCTAATTCAACATCATCATTAGAAAAAACACTTTTGCAAGGTCAACCACCAGGCACGATAATAAAGTGTGTTACAGCCGAAGTGACAAAAAACCAGAATGGTCCATGTATCAAACTAACTGGAATACAAGGTAGTGAATTAACTGAACATCAAATGAGTTTGGTCCATCAACAAGTAAAACAGCAATTAGTAAAAAAAGGTAATAATAAACGTTGTTCTGTTGTTTGATTGCTAAACACTGATATTTTCGAATCCCTAATCAATACGTACCTTGATATGACATTTTTTTCATTTTATTGAACAGCTCAAGAACAAAATGGTAGTCAAGCCTTGGGTCCAACAAAAATTTATTTGGCCGTACAGCCAGCTCAGACTCAGGCATCGCCAATGGCACAAGTGAGTATTTAGTTTAAAGTCGTTATCGACACCATTGTTAAACATATTGAAAACGTGTTAAACGTTCAAAAAAAATCTGTATACGACGCAAAGTCACTTACAAATGCCACTGATGATCAAGAAAATTTCGGGAATATTTATGTATGAAAGAAAAGTCATCATTTCGATGTCGCCATACGTAAATTTTGTGTATCAATTGTAGTTTTAATGTGTTTCGACTATATTTTCTTCGAATGTTAATTTTATTCTTTTCTTCTTAAAAATTATACTAGTTTCTGATATTGGCTAATAATGATATTTATAGGCAGTTTGAATAAATTAATTCCTTCTGCCAAATTTTCATTTAATTTTATTTAACTTGTTCTGTTTAAAAATATATGCGCAAATAAATTTATTCAAAACCATTAAAAAAAACTCAAGACCGAAAATGAAATACACAAAATAATTGTTGTACAATGATAAAACATTTTACACATAAGTTTAGAATTAAAAAAGTAAATATAATAAAAAAAATTCAAATTTCGTCGAAAATGTATTATCTTTTTGTGTCATTTAAGTTGTGACAACTTCATTAAATTCATAATATTTACAAATATACATTAATAAAAAGAATTGAAAAATATGTGGAGAGATGAAATTTTTGACTAATTTTTGAATCAAGGTCATTTTTCTCTTCAAATGTTCTTCATTCAATTTGAATTCAAGAGAATAGACTAAATAAATTGTAATTGATTTTTTTAAATTTATACGAGAAATAGGCTGTCCATTTCACGACAAAATATATTAATTAGTATATATGTGCAGCAGTAAATGAAAATAAGTCTCATTCACGCTTATAGAAATGTGTCAATCGATTCCTTTTTCTCATATTATGGTAAAAATCAAATGAATCGTTGCGTCAAAAGAATATCTCTTATTTTTCTTCAAATAACACAACAATATACATTTTTTTCCTTAAAAAATTTACGTTGCAGTATTATTTGGGGAAAACTAATTTTTTTGCCGCAAAAATCCAAATTTTGTAATAACAAAAACTTATTTTGTCTTGAGGTGGACAATTTATATTGATTATGAACCCAGTCATTTTGAGCTTATAGATAACTTCCAAAATGAAGCAATAATGATATTCATCATATAACGCATGACCGCTTTTGACACTGAACCATGAAGATATAAAATGTAGGAAATAAGAAATTATCGATCTACGTAATAAAATATATCGACAAATTACAGATTCAGATTACTTTCTAAAATAATTACAAAAATGAACCAGATAAAATATGTTCCAAATATACATACAGTTCGATCACATTATACCGGAAATAAATGTATTAAGCAAATTGCATTACTAAATTATATATTTGTTTTGATTGCCACATATTTGTCAGTTGAATTCTTCGTTCTGAAAAAATTTATCTCTTTCATATGAATATAAATTGATATCAGAAGAAGAGAATAACAACCCAAGTTTTTTTTATCAATATTTTAATTTATGTTCTCCAAAATATTACTTCGAAATTGCAAAAGCGCTATATTTTTTCATTTTTCAATTGCTTTATTGAAATTTATATGTTTTTATTAATTATATTATAGAGCGATAATCCCTTTCAAATATTAGCACATCTTCGACATTCCGAAGCGCTTTGAATTAGCATATATCTAAATGACAAATTGTTATTTAAAAAAATGCCAAATATTCATTTAGTGATTTTTCAGATCAAATAATGTGAATTGTCATATTTCTATTTTGATTCCCTTGATTTTTGTTATTTCTCTTGACGATTTGTCGAGATGCTAAAACCCTTATTGTGGTGAATATTCGCTCCGCTATGAATACACGAAATGTTCAAATTTAAAAGTAGACCTGCTATCCGTTCGATTATACACCAATTAGAAAGTTATTGTGCTATAAATGAATAAAAACCATTGAAGTTAAAGATAGTCAATGTTTCAGTTTTAAGCGCTCATTACAGGGATCAAGGCCTTTCCAAAAAAAAAAAAAACAATCTTAAACTGTGTAAAATTGAATGTAGTTTGATGTTTATGCAATCTTTTTAAAACTTTCTGGGATTGAAATATAAATTTTTTTTATGTTCGAATACATTTTGGTCGCAATGTTGACCGTTATATTTTGGCATTTTTATTACGGCCACTCTAGCGATAACTTGACACGAAGACAACATATACATACCATTGGAAAGGCCTTGAGGTAAGCTTTCGGATAGCGTCTTTTAAAATTCAATCAGCTTCGAATAAAAGACTGGAGGGCAGCTCAAAAAGTAATTCCTTCTCAGATCACTTCTCTTATGTTAATCATTGAATCAAATCATGTCATTTGGCAGACCGACAAAACACTAATCGATCAATTCTTCTTAAAATCTACAAGAATAATTTTAAAAATTTCCTTCCATTCCAGCCTCAATATTATCTCACATATGGACTTATTTCCATTTCTGTATTTTACATTGTATGGGGATGTTTTGAATCTTCAATTTGGAAGTTTCACTTGCAAAATTGTTCATATGAAATAAAAAAAAACTTGTAGAGAAATTTACTTATTTCTATATTTTCTTCTCAATACGAAAGATTTATTATCACTCCTATTTACCTTATGTTTATTTCTTTTAATTTATTGTAGAACTTCACAATAACAGTGAAATAATACTATATTACATTCTATCTATTAGGATCAACCAATGGAAGTTCCAACAATTTCTGCTTTTAGACCAGATGAAAAAGAATTTATTAATGGAGGAGACCCCAATAACGATCAATCTGTGAAAATATCACGAATAGAAATCGTTGAAAATAAATTAAATACACACACAACTCAACAGCAACAAAGGTCTAGTGAACAAAAAATTGAATACAATGTCCAAAATCAACAAATACAACCTACTTCAGAAACATTAAAAATCAATCCGAAGAAATACGAGAAGGAAAATAATGAATGTTCAGAATCAACAATAGTAACTGCTGACTATATACAACAAAGTATGTATATATATATAATTTACAATATTTTTACTTACTAAAAAATAAATAAATAATAAACGTACATATATATTTTAGCTATTCAAAATGCCCTACGACAAGGAAATATAAATCCCGAAATAGAAGAGAAACTTTTGAATTTACAACGATGTCATGAAAAGCAAATGAAAGGCACGCAACGTACTACGTCGATTGCATTAGCGAATAACCATCACGAATACACATCACAGGAGAATCCAACATCAAATCGCAAATATCCATCAAATCGACAAACAATCGACGATGATGATTGGATTATGGAAACTCCGAAACGAAAACTAGCCCGAGCGAGTTTTTCCGATAAAAAATTTGCAATACATGCTTCTGTCGTTGAAAATGATGTCAATCGAATTATTAGATCTGTAGCTGAAGAAGATATTCAATATCCAGAAATAAGTAAACGCAACAAGGTCGATATACATAGTACAAATAAGCAAGTCGAAACCCCAGAAAGTGCCGCCGAAACTCTAAAAGAGAACAACATTGATAAAACTTTGATATGTCGAATTGATGATAATAATAGAAATATTAAACGTTTGATCAAAAAGGATAACGAGAAGAAAAAACAAATGCAGGTAAAAATTATTTTCAACAAGTATCGTTTATTATATCGGTCGTTTATTATATTGGTTGTTTATTATATCATGAATTGAAAAAAAAAAATAGTTGAAGTTGTATCGACAAAAGGAGCAGCTGAAAAAAGATATTTTAAAGAAGCGCATCGTGCTTGAAAAATCATTACAAATTGAAATTCAACAAGAACTCCAAAATGAAATCTCTCTCAATCAAAATAAACAATTACTGAAAGAGGACAACGTATTAGTAAATTTAAAAGATAGTATCAGTCTGTCAAAAAAACGGTAAATTTCAAATCACAATTTCTGTTGTTTTATATAAATGTACTTTTTTGAAATAACGTTGATTGGTTTTAGCATTAGCATGGCATCTGCTAAAAAATTAGCTGCAGATGAGAGTAAAAATGAGCGAAATGATTTGTTACGTCAAGCTTCATCGAAAACGAAAATCAAACGAGGATCACAAAAGATTTCAAACTTGTCTAAAAAAAAGAAAAAACTTTACTGTATCTGTCGTACACCATACGATGATTCCAAGTATGTGTCATTGTCATATCAAAAAATAATAAAAACTTCCCTCAATAACATAAAATATTAAATATACATATTAATAGATTTTATGTTGGCTGTGATTTGTGCAACAATTGGTTCCATGGTGAATGTGTTCAAATAACAGAAGATGAATCAAAAGATTTGTCAGAATTTATATGTGGTGAGTGTAAGCATGCTCGTGATACTCAGGAGCTATTCTGCTTGTGCCGGCAACCATACGACGAGACACAGTTTTATATTTGCTGCGATAAGTGCCAAGACTGGTTTCATGGCCGATGCGTTGGCATACTACAATGCGAGGCGGAAAATATCGATGAATATATTTGTCCAAATTGTCAAAAAAATAATACAGTCAACTTTGCCAATATGAAAGACATGGGATCCAAAGAATACGATGAGCTTAAAATACTAATTAAACAAATTCAGGTAAAATGATGCCCATTCATTTTTGTCACTATTAAATTCAACATCACTTTATTATTTATATTTTTTACAGCACCACAAATCAGCGTGGCCATTTATGGAACCTGTTGACCAAAATGAAGCTCCAGATTATTATGTGCTTATTAAAGATCCAATGGGTAAGGATAAAGAATTATCAATGAATCATATGATTTAAGTAAGTAAGTAATTAAGTAATTTCTCTTCTTACAGATCTTCAAAAAGTAGAAGAAAAAATTGTTGCGCAAAAATATAGAAAATTATCGGAATTCATTGCTGACATAACAAAAATATTTGACAATTGTCGCTTCTATAATCCAAAGGAATCACCTTTTTATCGATGTGCAGAGAGTCTCGAAGGATATTTTGTCCAAAAAATCAAGCATTTTCGTGAATCTTTAGCTGACTCAAGTTCACCTTAATTACGTTAATACAAAAACCCCTCTTATTTCATTTTCATTTAAAATATTTCCAGAATTAAATTATATACGGTTTATAAGTATTCTTGAATTAAAATAATAATTATATGAAATATTTATAAAATTGAAGTTTGAATTTCTCCAACTTATTTTTTATTATACTTCATCTTCATTTAATAACATGTTAGGGATTCCATTTAAAATTGAAAATTTTCTTCCTGTTTCAGGACATTCAAGATGACCATCAGTAACATCGATTTCCAACAAAATATGATGAAGTTTTTCTAGAAAGTTAATATCAGCACTATGAGATTTAGTTACTTCTGGTGGTAACTCGTTTAAACATCCTATCTGTGACAAAAAATATATATTATAAAAGATCAAATATTAAATATAATTATACTTACAGACTTAGCACCTTCCAAAACTGTACGCCACTCCAACCGTGGTATCATTCGAATTAAAAATTCCGCATTGAAATCGATTTGAACCTCTCGTTTCTTTAAAACCTATAATGGATTTTTATTTTGAAACTATTTGGTCTCAATCAATTTTGGTAATTATTATACTTACATGAAGTTTCAATGGATAACCAACTTTTACACCTTTGATAGCGGACGATGTTAAAAAATTATAAGTTAAAAGTTTCATGAGTTTCTCTGATGATAAATATCGTGAAAAGATGAATAGCCAAATAAAGTAACATCGAGCACGTTTCAACGTTTGACATGTGTTTATTTTTTTGAAGTAGTAGAATAGAACTTTATTTTTGAACGAAATCTGGTACAATATTTTTTTAAATGTAAATTATTACAGAGCATTGCGTTTATATTACTTTATTTATCACCCAAACTCACCAATAAAGAATGTTCAAGTTATTTTTTTGTTATGACGGACTGAACTTGATTTTTGATAAATTCTCGACATCAGGTTTGAGTTTGAAAGTTATTCAAAGCGACCATGGTTCTTACCACGATAAATTTACGTATTCTGCGCAGGATGCTATCAAAGTTGAGTAGATAACGATGTACTCGTACAGCATTCATAATTTCCTCGGATGGTTACAATGTATACAAAATGTTTAAAAAAATGGGCGAGCCTTTTTAGTCTTTTCTTGAATCTCGTGGCATTGATTTGGATGCTACAGTGCTCCTTGGTTAGAGAACTTGACGTTTATAACATACTGTGTGATTTCACACAGTGCCACGCCCCAGTGTGTACACATACAACCTTTTTTTAACGAATATTGCATTTGAAATATTGTAAAAAGATGTTAAAAAATAGATATTGAACAAACGTATAAAATGTTTATAAATTTGAGTGAATTTGAATGAAATGCATACATGTAATTCTAATATTATTCTGGAAAATACCGAAAAAAATAAAACTGAGTTTGTAAAAAAAAATATTTGAAAAAGATTTCCTTTTTTTTGAAAGAAACTAAAAGATAATAAAATTAGTTTAAATAATCACACTTGGATTATGATTACTTTTAACATCAATAAATCAAGATAAATTTGATGTTTTGTAAATTTTACCTTTGGCAAAAATACACAAGATATTTTTTTACTTATAAAAAGTAATTTATTTATAAAAATAAATAAATATATTTATAGATTTAAACTGGATAAATTAAATGTGCTGCACACATCAAAGTACTGTTGTGATTTCCCACCCAAACATAAAAATGAATTACGACCCATGCTTTTTTTTCTTGTCTTTTCAGTTATATCGCTTACAAAAAATGTTTGTAAACAAATAATAAATAACAATGTGACGTTAACTAAAGACTATTTTTTTAAAGTTCGGGCAATGCTAATTTTTCTTACTAATTAAAGTATTAAATTTTGGAAGATAATGAACTGAAAAAAATAACATTATAAACAATACATATACGAAAAATTCAATTGTCTATGATTATATTTTAAAGTGGGTGTGTATCGAAGACCAATAACGAATATACTATATAATAATTGTAAATGAATGAGAACGATACGTTTTATAACTTTATGGAAATAAAATGAATTTAAAGATATTACTCAACACATAGCCGGTGATTTATTGTTTTGGAAATATTTAAAAATTATAATGTTATTATAATCCGAAAAGAAATATAAAATAAGTTCATTTTGAAATAGTTTGGACAATTGATATGAACAACATGTTCTTACTAGCTATCGGCATTCTCTTCATTCTTCAAAGTATGTATATCGAACGAATAACTGTACCACATAAAAGTGTTAATTAATTATATTAAAACAAAAAATATTTTATGCATTGACCTTTTTAAACTTGTTCGCACAAAAATTGCCGAATAAGACAAATTGCTGAATGACATAAATGCCCAAATGAAATAAAACACCGAATTCACAATCATGTCACCATAATCAATGTGAAAGTTGATTTTGTGAATACCAACTTAAATAAAAATAAAAAAGGGCACGCAAGTCAAGGTCTTGTGTTCCATTCCGAACACTCTCTCCTGTTTTTTTGACTTAAATTAAAATGAAAATCGGAAAATTTCAATCCCGTGGCTTATCATTCATTTTAAATGAATGGGTGAGGATTAAAGTCAGCACAAATCTCGTCAGCACAAAATAAAAGAGCATCATGAAGTTTTTTTTACGTAGATTGCATACAAAAAAACTCCATACAATTTTTTTTTTTACATGTTTCCCTAGAATAAAGCTAAATTAACCCTCTAGTGCATAGCCCTGCCTTTAGGCATGGTGTATAAATTATTGTCTAAAATATATGATTAAAAAAAAAAAAATTATTTATGAATTAAAATACATTCAGTAGGGTTCAGGCTTTCATTTTCTGGTCATTTGACAACTGGATGTAAATCGGTTGTTTAATTATATACACGATTGTACTCGAAAACAGAAATTTGAAAAAAAAATTATCATTTTCTTTGTTTATAGCAGTTTTACTGCAGTTAAACAATGGTTTTGATTGTTCTCGAATTTTGTCAATAGCATTTTTTGTGAAAACCATGCGATTTTTTGAATTTCGATTATATTTTAAAGGAATTATAAACCAAAACATTCATAGAAAAATAAGTCTCATGTCGAAAAAAAATAAAGAGGTTTACGTACGCAAGCTGACTTTTCCGCATGGAACCGAAATTTTAGGAATAAACTGAAATCATGGTCTTTGTATGGTTGCAGTAACTTAAATTACCGTGAAAACTTGTGAATATTATTTTCTTATCAAAATAAATAATCACACCAAGTTTAAAGAAATTTCAATCCAAAAAATAGCCTGTTCAAAGTTTCAGATCATTACGGTACCACAAAGGCAAGTCTTTCATACAAAAATGAAACTTTTTGTGGATTTTTGTATGAAAAGTGTGTGAAAAATTGATTGCATCTTAAAACTAACATCAGATTCGTGTTTCTCCCCCCACTACACATTCATTCAGCGTTCAAATTGAAAGAATATCATTTTAAGGCATTTTTCTCATAAGTGCCTCTTCAGAGTCTAAGTTTTATACCGATCAATCAATGTCGTTGAAAATTTGACCAGATTTATTCCTCGTAGTGCCCAATCATCCCGTGAAGTCACATTTTGAATTTCATGTCTGAGCACGAAACCATCGTGTCACCAAAATGGTTGAAAAATGATCAAAAATGTATGGTTGTGGGATTGTGGGTATTCGGACCAAAAAAAATTACACCGGTCAACAGATATTGCTCAAAAACTAATCAGCACGTCCCCTAGTAGTCCCAAATCATCCTGCAAAGTCAGAATTTGAATTGAGTTTTTGGTAGAGGATTTATCGTGTTAACAAATTTTGGCAACACGCCACAGGACACAGGACACATCACACACAGCGACGTACATTAATATGCCCCAAAATCATCTCCAATCGTGTTTTCTACATTAAATATGCATAGAAAACATGTTTTGGGATGATTTTAATTTTTTGGCCTAATACAATACTTCCAAACTTCAAGAATCTTCCAAACTTCAAGAATAATAAAAAAAAACTGAAAGAATGTAAACAGTAGACTAGCTCCCTAAACACAAGAGTTCAAATTTTTTCGCTTTTACATCGGCGTAGGATTTTTGATTCACAAGAATTTGGAATCGTCGATTATCTGCCATAGATTCGTCAATGAAAGATTAATGTGGATTTCGGTCAAAATTTCAGGAGATATTTATAGATTCGTGAGCGTATATTCAACACGTGAAGGTGCAGTTTCGGAACGACTAGACAATTTTTACAATGATCTAAATGATGTAATTTATCGCAGAGGCAGTGAAAAGGTCATTCTTATGGGTGACTTGAACGCTAGAGTAGGTCGAAATGATCCAAATTTTGCTAATATTTTGGGAAAGTTTGGTGAAGAGTCGCCTGCCAACAATAATGGAAAGAGATTATTGGATTTTTGCCAGAGTTCGGGTTTGATTAAGTCTAATACTTTCTTCAAGCATAAGAAAATTCATACATATTCGTGGGAAAATTCTGGCCAGAATCAGAAATCTCTTTTGGATTATGTAATTGTTGAGGAGTGCTTGCGTAAATAGAAAAAGAGAAGATAGTGCTGGATACTTGCTATGATCTTGGTCTCCTCCAGATAAACAAGTGCTACAACCAAAATGGTCGTATGCATACGTCCGCAAGGGGGGGGTATTTTTTCCAACGCAAATTTCGAATTTTTGGACTGAAAACTAAAGATTAGAAAATGGTCATTCTTAAGGTAGTTTTTGACGCTCTATCGATTGGCATCATTATTTTTTTTATCCTGACCCTCCCCTCCCCCTTAATCGGGGGGTTGTCATTTTTTTTTCTCTGAAAATTTGTCCCGACGCTGATTTGAGGGTCAAGGAGTGGAAAAACCCCCCCTAGACCCCCCCTCATACTCAAGGTATTTTTTGATGCCCGATCGATTGGCATCATTGGTTTTGACCCCCCAACGCACCCCTTACCCCCTAGGGGGTGTTCTGGTTTGGAACCTTCTAACCCCGATTTAAGGTCTTTGGAGTGGAAAAACCCACATGACCCTTCACCCATACCCGGGGTATTTTTCAGTGCTCTATCGATTGGCATCATTGGTTTTGACCCTCCGACCGACCCCTCCACACTTTGTGGGGCTACCTATTTTTCTTACCCCCCAAATATCTACAGACTCCCATTTGAGGGTCAAGGACATGAAAAACTCCCCCTATACCCCCCCTCATACTCAAGGTATTTTTTGATGCCCGATCGATTGGCATCATTTATTTTGACCCTCCAACACCCCCTTTTGGTTCCTATACGTCGACCCCGATTTAAGGTCATTGGGGGTGAAATACCCCCGGGGTGTGTTCTTACACCCAAGGTAGTTTTCAGTGCTCTATCGATTGGCATCATTAGTTTTTTGACCCAAACCCCTTATTCCCTATATACACCCTCCTCTATCTTTACCCAGACTAGTTCTATACCCCAATTTAATGCTCGGACCAAAAAATTATGCACTATAATGCACTATAATGTTGTTCAGAATGATGAGAGAAATTTTTTGGGTCACCTGCCCTCCAAGTCCCCCCACCCCCCAGGGGGGTCGGGGGTCAAAAACCCCCAAGATGTGATTTTTTTGACCTGAAACCCCGAAATTCGGACTCAGCGTGCCAAAATACCTTAGAAGTGATATTTTTCTCATCCAATATTGTGTCTAGCCCCAGTGCCCTCCATTTGGGGTCAAATCCTACAAAGTCGATTTTTCACTTTTTCGGTCCGGAATTTTGTAC